GCCCAAATGGAATTTATCCAAATGTTTTCCAGTAAAAAAAACTGTGTCGCCTAATCCCAAACTACCTCAGAAGAGAAGAGAAACTGAAACACAGTTCATTGAAAAATTCAATCAAACTTAACTTTAAAGAATCTCGAAAGACAGTCTAACCCACTACAAATATAACTCGTCGATAAAGATAATCTGTCTATGAGACTATCTAAAGCCTTGATAATTACAGGTCCACACAAGTGATACAGGTAAGAGATGACACAGAACTAGTGAACTACAATGTAAATCCAAATGCAACCAATGAGACGGAAGAACTTTACAGTCGGATTGAAGGGTCAAAGCCGAAACATAATAATGCATCATACGAGGCCTTCTATCAACATGCGCATCCTCCTGACGATTGTGACTGAGACGCATTTGTGTTGCTCGACTTGAGGTTGACATCAACCATGTCCTCTTGCTTTGCTGAGGATAGAGTCTCCATTCCTGGCAAGGCTGCAGCAATCTTGCGAAATAGTGCCTGAAACAATTGGCCTTAAAAGATAAGTATCGGAGCACTACAGCTAAAAAAAGTGCACCCGTTGATCATGATGGATTGATTTCATTTGTGATTTACATGTCTGGCAAAGCTTAAATTTATGTTTTAACTTTTCACTCCCAAGCATGTTTAGATAAGTCACGTCTTCTCGTATGTCAAAAGAAACATCATAACAGAAAAGTAGAAGTTACTTTCAAAATAGTAGCTTATTGTTCAGTTAAAATTTATAACTGCAAGATTATTCAACATAACCATAATATGATTCTTAACAAAAAATATGTCTCCTGATGTTGCTATCTATCATTGTGTCATTTGATTGAAAAAAACTAACTTGCCTAAATGAAATCAGAAGAAGACATATCAGAACAGGTTCCATCACATTCATATATATTTAGTCGACCAATCAACTAGAACATTTGAAAGTAGGCTTCACAACAAATGCCGCCACTTACCTTTATATTGAAGCCAGCCTTGGCACTCGTTTCAATAAACATGACATTTAGTTCACGAGCTTTGGCCTCTGCTTCCTCTATCGAGACTTGCCTAAATTGTCACCATGCACATGAACAGATGAGAGTAGAATATAATGTCAAAGGAATTAAATACAAGAACATGAACCTGATGAATATATGTGTATATTGGTTTAAACTATTTGACCTATATAAGAAGACTAAGCAGCAAGACATGTATTACCAATTCATTCATGTCTACTTGATCACACCCTCATTCAAGTTCTATTATATATTCTCTATGGTACATTTTCATTAATTATCACACAGTACTAAAAAATCCGCACATATCAAAATCATGATACAGTAAAACATCTGAATAGTTGTCTCACAAGGTTCATTTCTCATGAGATTTGTGGCTGTACATTTATCATTTGGGAATATCCCCGTGGTTCTTATTTAATAAATCACTAAACAAAC